GTCTGTCGATCAATACTCAGTAGTATCAATCGATACTGATTTAAACGAACTGGTTGAACATATTATTTTTCTTTCAAAAGTGCAATTACTCCTTGTTGATAATTGATAATTCGGACAATTCTTAGATTCAAGACTACTTGTAAGATTCTTGCAACAATCTAATTTAAAAGGTTACTCACTTATTTACACATGATGTAAGTTATCAAGTCCTAATAACCAGTTTATATCAGGATTGTTTAATTTCAGAGCACACATGAATTCACTTATTTTAACAAACATTTCATCACAGAATACCTAACCAGATTTGTGAAGATTTTTTGTTTAGTTCAGAGCTAGGAAAAACACTCATAGTCCAACAGGAGATTGAACCTAATAACTTATCGAAGATATTGGTTAAGGATTGACAGTATTTACAAAAAATACGCACACACTATTTACTTCTAGTTCAGTGGTTCTTGTCAATCTTAGATTTTTATTACAAAGTAAGACATTAATACCGTTAGGCACAGGCTCAGTGGTCCAGAGAAGTCAAGCGTTCGCGCGCGAGAACGAAGATCCTGGCTTCGATGCCCACGAGCCCCGTCATGGATTGTTAGGATATTCATCCAATATCTGAAGAGAATTATTGGACTGTTCCTATTAGTTAATTCCTACTAGTCAATTTTATGGTCGCCCTAGATATCAATGTCACGTGCTCCAATGTTGTTTCTTATTGGTTGTCCTGACTATCAATGTCACTTCAAATGTTGCTTCCCTTTGGTCGTTAATGTCACAGAATTCGATGCTGTTCCTATTCGACCAAAATGTATAAATACGCATTATCTGAAACGTTTTATGTCCACGACCAGGGCTCGGTCCCGGATCCCTAGTCCGGGATCCTGATTCTCTTCTGGACTCGGACCTCGTACTTTCTGGATGCTTGTAGAATACAGATTATACTTCATATCATGTCTTCTTATTTTCACTGAATATAGGGGTTGGGATAATCGAATTTGAGTAGCATATCGTGTCAACGGATCTCCGATCCTCGCTCTCGTTTTCCGACTAGATAAACTCGTAATGGTTCAAGTATATCAAGTGGACGTGTTATGTACAGGCGTAACATGCACACTGTTGATGAGTCCTATACGAGGACGACAGGGAACTCCAGTACTTCCAGGTTTGTAATGGTGGTCTAAGAATGTTCGATTCATAATTTCAGTTAAAGATTTTAGATTTCCCAATCCTGAGTTTTAAATGGAACTATATAATGTAAAGTAATGAGAAATGTCACATACTAGGATATCTAGTTGATTCTTTCGGATTTTTTAAAAACGATTTTTACTATTAAACTAATTTATTTTAAAAAATTAGACATTTTTACAATGTAGGTGAGAAATTACTTCGATTACATTCGTATGAATTATTGTTATCAAGTATAATTAATTTTAAAATTGAACTTTGTTTTAATACAGAGTAAATAAAAATATTAAAAAATAATAAGTGAGTTTCTCCGATAGGATAAAATAGAATATTTTGATGAACATTCCTAATCATAAAATAACTGGATAGAATAACAATACATAGGAATAAATGAATCTTACTGACTTACTCCTGTTACCCTTAATGGAGCATAGGCCACCGAATATGATTACTATTCATGTTTCACATTTTTGTTATGTGCTGAGTTTCTACGGGATGAGATAGTTAACCTCTTACACAACCCAACTTCTCCGGGTTTGTGAGAGGCAGTAACTATAGAATTTCTCCAGTTGGATTTAATAAATCATTCTAGTGACATTTTATGCGGTATGGCAACCTGAACTGATGTATGTACTTACGACGTTGAACTGACTGACTAGGAACATTTCAATGTGAAAGTCATAATAATAAATCTATGTATATTGATCAGTTCAATTGCTCCTATGGTGAGTACAATTCAAAAAATCCGTTATCGTATAGCAGAACATGATTAATCTTGGTTGATCAAAAGACAGGTAATAACGAATAAGAGTTTTATTCTCACTCCCTTTGGTGCACAACACAGGATATGAAGTTGGTCTATCACATTGAATTAATCACCTAGTTAACGATTTCGTCTTTCGTATAGAATAGTTAAAGTCATCGAAATCCATGTTTATGATTTCACTGACCTTTGCACTAATTCTCTCTGTACCTTGACCATCTGTATAACAGTGAATCTTAGTTGAATTTTCATTTTGAATTCACTTTTTCAAGAAAACATTCAAACGATTTTTTACACATTGAAATCGTGGATGAATAACTGTTAGACCACCATTAGAAACTTGGAAGCACTGGACAGCCGTTTGTTTGTAGTATGGGACTCTGCTGTAATGTGCATCCACGACTACCGCTCACGAGAATCGAACCCAGGACATTCAGTCTCGCGCGCGGAAACTTAACATCTGTACCACTGGCATCCAATGGTGTTAATGTCTAACTTTAAATAATCTAGGGATTTTGCAAAACCTCACTCACTGTCTTCGGTGTTTACTGCCTACACCCGATAAGGTTGAACTCCATCGGTCAAGTCTTCTCACCAGAATTCCGAGAATTTCCTCATGAAACTAGTCACTAGTGAGCACCTTTTTTGATTTTGTATCATAGTATTTGTAATTTCTCTTAATTTTGTAAATTTACATATTCTCAACATCTGTCCCCTAATTCTTACATAACACTGATCTTACGTCAAAATATTTTTTTGAAAAATTCTTTTTCATTTATTACATATTGCGGAAACTATCTAGTTGATTCTTCAAACAATAACTATTGTCATTATCATCGTTATCCTTCTTTCCTTCTGATTACGCACTATTGTTAATTAATCGTTCTGATATTATGTAGTTATTATGTTACGTAACTGTTCGACCAGTAATAAATCATTGTTTGAAAAATCAAATATATTAATATCCAGCCGTGATGACAAACTTCATGTGAAGCCCTTTTATAGTTCCTCCTGTTTCTATACACTGATAAAGGAGGAGGATGGTTGAGCATGGGAGGTTAACGATGCTGTCCCGTAGACAACCCACTTGCTAAAGATGCACTAAGCAGAAAATACTGGTCGGCGGCTTATATGTATGCTCCATTAAAGGTACCAGGCTTAAGTAATTAGGTAAGTAATGATGAGAAACTGACTGAAGATAAATATCTGTTCACTTTATCTGTTCTTTTTATCAACTAATGTATTAAAATCTCATTGAGATCATAAACCGAGCACCTGGTAACACTGGTCGAACCGTTGATCAATGTTTTTTTATAAGTGTTTTTCAAACTACTTATTTTTGATTTTATTAGTATTTTAGGACCAAATGAAACTCAACTCACAATCAGTTCATTGAGAATAAAAGAATCGAAAAAACAACAATTTCTATCGACAATAAACCAACGAAAACATTATTCATATTTAATAAATTTTCATCATGATCAATTACTTTCACAATTATTGAAAGAAGATGGTCACATTGAGGTGAATCATTTAATTATTCCTAAATCGTAAGTGATCCTATAAAATTTTTATCTAATTGATTGTCAGTAAGTAGATTGTTGGATTTCATTGAAATCATGAATCGACTAATGTTAGATTACCTGAAAGCACTGGATGTCTAGTCCTTCCTGGTATGGAACACCTTAGCACTGAGCATCCACGATCCGGCATGCGAGAATGGAGCCATGGAACTTCGGCCGGGCTCGCTGTGTCAACATCCAACGATGTTAATGTCTAACTTGAATCGATACAACATTCTGCACAACCATCTTTCCTCATCTTCAGTGGATTACTGTCTCTTATCGGACGTGGACTGAATTCCAGTGGTCACGCTTTCTCACTAGTGACCATATGGTAACTGTCAGTACAGGAATAGATTAGGAATTAGCTAGTAAAAAATATGCTCGAAACGCCATTTCAAACGATGGAATCAGTGACTTCTGGTCTTTAGCTAATGCTACCAGGTACAAATTTCTTGATTTAAAATCACATAATAGATTTAACGTGTATCTGAAGACATCGAATGATATAATACAAATTGATTACTGCGGCACCGTTGTATTGATTTTCTGTTCTTCTCTGAATATCGGTTCAGACATCATTCTTGATTGAGATTTCTTTATTTCATTGGTTATCATCAACTGACCAACTTACTTACTTACGCCTGTTATTCCTTTATGAAGAAAAGACCGCCGATCAGCAAATTATTTTTTTCTGGTTTCCGCATTTTTTTAGCGGGTTAGTTTTCTACGAAATTCGGTCGCTAACCTCATGCCAAACCCTACTTCTTTATCCAGACTTGGGACGGACAATAACCCCAGAAGGCCTCTAGGTGGAGTTTAGCTTGGCACTGGACCGGACTACTGCAGTCAATTAACTTTAAGCTTCATTAGTTTTGTTTACCACTGGAACTAGGGTTGTTTTCTTCATTTTATTTCAAATGATATTTTTTTTCTTTCACTATCCTAATATGAAATACAATAACTTGTACAAATAATAATTCGTCCTTTATCCTCACTTACTAACTTACTTACGCCTGTTACCCCAAATGGAGCATAGACTGCCCACCAGTTTTCTCCAATCGACTTTGTCCTGGGCTTCCGTCTCCAGTTCTGTCCAATGTTTGTTCATTCCTCTCATATCTTTCTCTATTTCTCGGCGTAATGTGTTCCTTGGCCTTCCTCTTTTCCTTTTGCCTTGAGGGTTCCATGTGAGGGCTTGTGTCGTGACGCAGTTGGGTGCTTTCCGCAATGTGTGTCCTATCCACAAACTCCACCGCTTCTTCCTGATTTCCTCCTCCACTGGAATCTGGTTTGTTTTCTCCCACAGTTCGTTGTTGCTGGCCAACGAATCCGAAGTATTTTGCGTAGACAACTGTTCATAAATACTTGTATCTTCCGGATGATGGCTTTGGTAGTTCTCCTTTATCCTACCTTGACAATAATTGGGACTGATCAAAGTTTCCCAAATGATTCCCTATAACTTCAAGTTTCGCTTGTTTTAACTTTTACAGAACTGTCAATCAACAAACATATCGATGGGATGAACTCTCGAAACCAACAGCGTTAAATAAATCGATACAACTTCGACGTATTCGACAAATTCATAACTATAATAATAATAATATTGCTGTACAGTTGACTAAGAGTTCTCCAAATCAAATCAATGACAACTCTGAAGTTGACAAGATGACCTTGAAAGTTGATCGTCCGAATTACAAGAACAAGTATTTTGTTTAAACATATTACTCTCTAATATTGATATTCATTTTGTTATTAGTTTACTCTAGTTTTAATCAAATGACTTGGTCATTGTGAATAATTTTTCATCTTGTGAATATAAAGAGCTGGAGCCATAGTGTCATAAATAAGAATATGTATATAGCTTGAAATTCCATCTGGAGCCCTTTTAAAGTTACTGCCGATCTCAGGTCATAATGAAAGAGGAAGGTTGAGCATGGAGAGTTAGCCGACTAATCCCATAGAAAAGTGACTCGCTACAGTAAATGCTAATCAGAACACAGGCTGGTAGAATGACCCATGTCATAAAACGATCCCCAGACTGGGAATCGTCAAATTCAATGGAGATTAGGTAGACGAAAGAACACATTACTCCGAGAATCGGAAGCAGATATGAAAACAAGAGACAGCATTTGTGTAGGACTGGAAAGGAAGGCCCTTAATCACGGTCTTCAGTCGGTAACCGCCCCACACTCAACAGAGTCAAACTCCACTAATCACGGCTTCTCCATAGAACTCTGAGAATTACCTCACACAGTTAGTCACCGATGAATGGATCTTCGATGCTCACTGCTGATGATTCCCATACTGGAAAGTAACGGCCGTTTCTAATGATCCTTTAACAATGATCGATCAATGATTTCAATGAAACTCAACAACCTCCACAACTCTATAATGGAAGTATTGAGGATTCTTCACTGTCATCAAACACATGATATTGAATAAAACGAGCATTAAAATTATGTTCATTGTATTGTTGTAGTCTTATCTTTGCTCAATCAATCATTAAGTATCAATTACCAATTATTTCAATTTTGATGAAAGTATGATCAACTGGTGACCTTGAGCTGCCTATCAAGTAACACTGACTAGTTATGAAAACGATTGAAAGCTAAAAGTCTTAAAATAACAGTCGAATCATAACAGTTTTGATCGGATAAATAATCAACCCGTTCATGCGTTGAAATATTCCTTGTAGTAGGAGGAAGCGATTAAGTTCACTGATTTAAAATCAGGCTAATGTTATTATGAATTAGGGTATTCGTCACCAATTGAGATGAGTGCTGATACCAAAAGGTGGAGGTTAGGTATTAAGAGTTAAGTTGAAGTTATAAGTTTGATTTTACAAATTAAGTAGGAATGTTCTGTTACGCCTGCACGTAAACACGTTAACTTGATATACTTGAACTATTTCGAGTTTGCCTTGGTCGGAAAACGAGAGCGAGGATCGAGGATCCGGCGACACGACATGCTACTCAAATCCGATTATCCCAACCCCCATATTGAGTCAAAAATAAGACAAGACTTGATATGAAGTAGAACCTGTATTCTACAAGCATCCAGAAAGTACGAGGTTCGAGTCCAGAAGAGAATCATGATCCCGGACTAGGGATGCGGGACCGAGCCCTGGTCGTGGTCATAAAATGTTACAGATAATGCGTATTTATACATTTCGGTCGAATAGGAAACGGCATCGAATTCTGTGACATTAACAGTTAAGATGACCAATAGGAAGTAACATTTGAAGTGACATTGATAGTCAGGATGACCAATAAGAGACAACATTTAAGTATTTGACTGCCACAGTTAAAACGACCATAATTTTGACCAATAAAAATCGACCAATAGGATTTGACCAATATTGGATCCTAACATTTTTATCACGAAATGATATTAGTTATCATGCAATGTTTTGTCAGCTTTCTGTTTACAAACTCAACACTTATCTTTTTGAGATTTATAATAACAGTTAGAATGAGAAGATCTTATTGATCTTTAGTAAACGCCCGATCAAAATACAATGAATTGCATCAAAAACTTTGAAAATACAATCTACCTTCTTCAGAGTAGTTATATTTTGTAATTTGATTTAAGCACCAACTCAAATTTACTCACGTTTTTCAATCATGTTACAAGTTTTACTGACTTGAAATACAAGATGAAAAATGCTGTCAATTTTTATTTTGTTAATGAGAACACTAAACAAAAGTTATCTATCACTGCACTTTACTTTCTCACTGTCTAGATATTTTGACTGGTTAACTCAAGGTCGTTAGTAAATGTTACTTTTACGATAATTTCTCCGACGTCTAATACTTAGTAATCCATATCAAATAGAATAAAACAAAAATCAATAAAATGCACTGGACTTTTGCATCTTTTTTCTGTGCATCAAAATGAATCTTCATCTTTTGTCTTCTTAGTCTTTTTACTTACTTACTTACTTACTTACTCACTTACTTACTTACTTACTCACTTACTTACTTACTTACTTACTTACTTACTTACTTACTTACTTACTTACTTACTTACTTACTTACTTACTTACTTACTTACTTACTTACTTACTTACTTACTTACTTACTTACTTACTTACTTACTTACTTACTTACTTACTTACTTACTTACTTACTTACTTACTTACTTACTTACTTACTTACTTACTTACGCAGCTTACTTACTTACTTACTTACTTACTTACTTACTTACTTACTTACGCAGCTTACTTACTTACTTACTTACTTACTTACTTACTTACTTACTTACTTACTTACTTACTTACTTACTTACTTACTTACTTACTTACTTACGCAGCTTACTTACTTACTTACTTACGCAGCTTACTTACTTACTTACTTACGCAGCTTACTTACTTACTTACTTACGCAGCTTACTTACTTACGCCAGTTATCTCTGACGGAGCATTGGTCGCCGACGAGAAAATTATTTTTTCTAGATGGCGTTTTTATCGTATGGGGCTTCCGACGGGAAATGATCCCAGAAGAGCTTCAAGCGGAGTTTCTCTCAATGTATTAGATCATATAATTCCAGAATAATAAATATTAATGTTGTTATTAGTTGAGAAGCGATTCAGTCTCACATATCATCATATTTAAGTCAAAAGTTTCTACATAGAAAAATGTCTAGTTCCAATTCTATACTCATCATAATTTTGATTTCAAAAAGAGTAAAGTATACCGATTTTACATTTTCAATACTTTCACAAACCATTGAAAAATCTTTTGTTACTAGATATCTAATTCTTTTGGTTTATGGAATCCCTACAGAATAATTCTTCCTGTTAGTTAGTTAGTTAGTTGGAGGTAGTCAGCATGATATCTTACCCTAATTTACCTTTTTTTACTAATTAGCGCTCGTCAGATGTGATATAATTTCACTTCCGCGAAGACTGATGTTTCATTGTGCGTTTTGTACCAACGTTATATTTGTTTACAGTCTAAGACATTACTATATTCAACCTGTAACTGATCTCTTCTAATCAAACTATGCAATGATAAATTCGTATACTCATTACGGGGTTGTGAAGATTGTCAAGTTACACATATTTTGAAACCATGAATCGATCCATGTTAGACCACCAGTAGAAACCTGGAAGCACTGGACGGCCGTTTCGTCCTAGTATGGGACTCCTCA